AAAAGTGGTTCGTTTTCTGCTCAATAAGCGATGTGTTGTGGTAGCGTTCCACACGGGCTTTCTATGTGCACTCACACTATCACAGCATGCTGCCTATGTTAACTGCGGGCAGAAGATGCCTTCTACCGCTAGGTGCGCTAGTGTTAGCAAATGACAAGTGGAGCCACTTTTTGATCCGAAGTTCCACTCCTGTGAGAAGGCGCTTGCCACGAGTGGGCTGCTTCTGGAGGATAGCCCACTGAACCTGATTAAAGCCTCAAAACGCCGCAGCAGACTTAGGGCGCTCTCCGGGCGACGCTAATTATCAAAGAAGTCTAGACTAACATTTGAAATGGGCCTATGTCCAAAATGTAAACAAACCAGAAAATGAATTTTAAATTTTTCCGCCACTATTCAATTCATAGTTAAGAAAATTGAAGTATTTTAGGCATTCATATTGTTCACAATAACAATAGTAACTGCATCTCAGCATTCAACATCCAAAATATGTGAAATCCTTTCAAAAATATATGAAAATTGATAAAAATTTAAAATGCATAAATTAATGCCTTTTTTGTGAATCTTGCAATGGATAGGCCCTTTTTGTTAAGCCGTTGTGCTTTGATAAGCCTTTTCGCAACGTCAAATAAATTCAAAACAAATCATCGGCCCTGCAGTAGGGCCTAGCTTTGGTTTGAAAAATTTCAATCATCGGCCGCCTTGGTTCTTCGTTCGAAAATTTTGTGAGAGTGGAATTACGCCCGGAGATTTTTGGGTCTTCTTTTTGTTGGTTGTTTATACGTGAAATATCTATCGGATGCATTTCAAATGAATCGGGCGTGACTAGATACTACAGAATTAGTACGTTTGGCATATTAAAACAATATAATTCGTAGTTCTGGTGCAAGGCGTAACAACCAGATGCATAAAAGAGTTGAAAGTTGGAAATACGCTATGTAAGAAGAAACGTTTTTGATGATTTGAAGTGATATTTTCTTCTACTTTTTCGTATTATCGATTAGTTTGTGAACTGTTCTCTATATATGTGGCAAAATATGGTGTGTTTACATTTTGGAGTTACGCCCTTTTCAAATGTTAGTCTAGAACTGCTATTGATCACCGATGAACCGACGTGACAGCTCATGCATGCTACTTTCAAATTCGTGCCCAAGACGCCTTATTTAAAATACGTTAAACACTACCGACATCTATTCATCCGATCGCGCCATACCATATGAGCAAGGACACGAACCCACGTATATTTTATGTTGCCTTGGTTTGCGTCTCACCTCGTTTGACAGATCTGATCGCCCGTTTGAAAGTTCGGATCGCTCGTTTGACAATTCGAATTGTGGACAAAAGAAATGCTCCTGTAGCATGTCGGTTCGTCGGTGTGTTGATGGCAGTTGACAATGGTGTTACGAAGCTTGCGCGAATCATTCAACACACTCACGACGGCTTTGGAGGCCAGGTCTGACAACCAGTTGGCTCTCGAGCTGATCAAGTTCAAGCTGAAGGACGAGGTTGCCAAACGAGGAGGCAGGGGATGCAGTGAATCCCAACGATGCCAGATATACAGACTTTTGTACACGATAAAGATGGACACTATCTTTTTTGAACCCTTGTAACTTTAATTATAATAACAATTTTTCTAATCTCATTAGATATAAAAATAGTTACATATTTTAACTAGTTATTGCATTAACTGTAGCTTCACAAAATACTTCATTTGATATTTTTTGGATAAAATTAAAAAGCGGTGGCCACTTTTTTCGTGTACAGAAGTCTGTATATATGGCATCGTTGGTGAATCCGTGCTCAAGGCTGACGCTCATTTACAACTATTGCCAGAAGCCGGGTCACAAACAGAAGCAGTACTGAGCTTTGATGAAAAAACAGCGAGGTCAAACGCGCTACCGAGGACCATTCAAAGCAGGATTTGTCGTTCTGGGAATTGCAGCAGAAGAGCGGACGTGATGCGTGGATCATCGACTCTGGCGCGACGTCTCAGATGTGCATCGATCCAGACTACTTTGTTGCGTTGGACAAAAGCGTGAAGCAGGTGGTGTGCCTTTCGGACGGCAAGAAGACGTCATTTCTTCAAACCCTGCACCAATGGCTGGGACTTAAAAAATTGAGAAATTGAGGGAAATTTTGCAGCCTGAAATGATTTTCTATATTTTAAACATATGGAATTTGAGTTCAGTCCTTGAACATTTTTAATGCTTAATGGAAAACATTTTTTAATAATGGACATACATTTTTTTTTCTTAAGTCCAGAGTGATTGAAATGCATGTGGTATAGCGATGGCTATGATTCCACCTCGTTTGTCAGCTCAGATCAGCAAATTTCGTTTGAATTATTAACATCATCGTTTTGAATGATTTGCGTTATGGAGCTGAACCAATACCATATGCATTTCAATTTAGGATGACAATCATTCTGCAGAGAGCATTACACATTTCAATTTTTCGCAATGTTCATCCTGTATTCGAGAGGAAAATCATCTAATTTCAAAACTACCGTCATCTAGATGCAGTTATCATCCCAAAAAGCGATTTCGATGTGTCGATTTTAATTGTCTGAGCTTTTATACGATCAGAGGATGATATTTCAGTACGTGTAGGTTGGTAAATAATTCCTCAATTTCGCGAGATAAATTAATGCATGTTTCCCTTCCTAGAAATGAATTGGTTGAGATGTCATCCACTGCTTCACTATTGCGCACGTGTTGACATATATACATCCGCTTTACAGTTCGAACAATCCTAATTCATCTCCGGGACGCACAATAGACCGCTCTTTGGGAGCTCCTGGTTCCTCCAGCCCAGTCGTGCCGATTCCTGCCAGCGTTCAGCATAGTCGTCCTGGACATGGGGCCCATACAAATTTTAATATTTTTGTATGGACAATTGTCTACGCAGGGGGAGGGGGGGGGGGGTGGGTCAAGAATCCCAAAAAACCTGTCTACGTAGTTTATGAACAAACCCCTATTTCTATGCGCTCTGTACATTCCACCTGATCGAGTCCGCGACAATGCACTCATCGATACTCACTGTCGGTCAGTTTTCACAGTTATCGAAAGTGCCACTCCAGTTGATGAGATATTCATTTTTGGTGACTTCCATCTGCCTGGCGCTTCGTGGAGTCCATCTCATAGCGGATTCCTGTATCCAGATCCTGATAGCTCTACATTTCTTCCAGGAGCTATTAGCCTTCTCGACAACTACAGTGCAGCGACGCTTTCTCAAATTAACCATGTAGTTAACGAAAATGGTCTCAGCTTGGACCTCTGCTTCGTGAGCACACAGGACAGGGCTCCATTAATTTCCTCAGCTCCTTGTGCACTAACTAAGCTAGTTCCACATCACCCTCCTCTAATTGTCACTGTTGAGGACAAACTCGTGCGTGATTTCGACGATTATCCTGCTACGGTTTCTTATGACTTCCGTAAAGCTGACCAGCATCATAAATGTATTGTCTAGCATGGTATGGGAGAACAGATGACGTTGAGGCTGCAGCGCAAACCTTTTCACATGTCTTGGCATATGTCATTGGCAGACACATCCCGAAAAGAACTCACCACAAAGGTTGAAGTCACGCTTCCTCTGAAACTACATTATAAGAGGCTGAATCACATGTACCAGCGTGTCAGTCGTGAATGCTTTTCAAGTTTCCAACGAGGCATCCAGCACAAACTTAAGCTACACCCGAAATCCTTTTGGAACTACGTGAACGAGCAACGCAGGGAATCCGGCCCACATCGTCTATGGAATTCAATGGAGAAGTTGCTGTCACCGTTCAGGATATATGCCGCCTTTTATCCGACAAGTTTGCTAGTGTATTCACTAATGAGATACTAACTGACGACCATATTAACCTGGCTGCCAGGAACGTTCCAGTAAATGATCAAACGCTGGGTGCAATTGATGTTAATGCTGTGATGATTTCTAAGGCCGCGACTCTGCTCAAGTCATACTTCAACCCTGGACCTGATGGAGTTCCATCTGTATTTTTGAAGAGACATTGCTAGCTTGTTAATTCCGCTTCTTCGCCTGTTCCGAATGTCTCTCTCCAGTGGCATATTTCCATCTTGCTGGAAATTTGCGCACATGTTTCCCGTCCACAAAAAAGGAAAGAAACGAGCTGTGGATAACTATCGAGGAATTACATCGTTAAGTGCCGTTTCGAAGCTATTCGAGCTAGTGATTATGGAACCGTTGCTGTCCCATTGCAAGCAGTATTTGAGTGCTGATCAACATGGGTTTACTGTCGGCCGCTCTACAACCACCAATCTGCTGTGTCTCACATCGTATATAACCGAAAGCATGTCGGATCGGGTTCAAACGGACATCATTTATTCAGACCTATCCGCAACATTCGACAAGTTGAACCATGCTATTGCATTTGCTGAGTTGGTTTCGATCATATCTTACCGGTCGCCAACTAAAGGTTGCCAAAAGAATACACATAACAAACCGCTTTGTACCCCTTGGTCATCAACTTCTCGAACACACTTCACCCCGACATTCCGACCAAATTTTAAAACAAGAAACGATCTTAAAAAGTAATCGGCTGCCGCTACGATGATTGGCAGTTTTGCAACAAAAATGACATGATCTCAGAGGAAAATTGTATTTTATGATGACCTGAAAAACAAGTGTGCAGATGATACGGGTACTGGTAAAAGATCGGTTCCATGTAACAAAGCCGGCAATATTTATGAGAAAGCACAGAATAAAGAGGACCGCGAGCGAACTAACAGTACCGACAAATGAACGTTTGAATCTTTGTTTGCAAAAGCAGATACGTCCGTTTGAAAACTCTCTCTTGAGTTTCCGCCTTCTAACCCATCCCAACTAATTAGAAAACTATCAATCAACCAATCCAAATATGATCTCGCAAGCGATCAGCATGCATTTCGCGACAAGCATTAAACACCTAAGTCAGAAAAAGCTGATGTGCATTAGCCAATTACCAATAATATCCACAAACACCGTAAAACCCATCCTCCACCTACCTTCTTCGTGCTGCATCTTCCGTGGCCTGCCGCGAGCCTTCTTCCCATCTAGGTTCGGTTTCATCAACCCACTGGGACCGGGCCGACTGGATGTCATCGAGCCGGCCGACGAAGGCCGTTCCAAATTGCTGGCATCTTCGTCGCCAAAGTCCCGATCCGGAGAGGTGTCACGAGATCCGTGGAAATACTACAGGCAAAGGAAGGAGTCATAATTTGTAGAACTATAGCGAAATTATCCCCGTATCGCAACTGCAATACCTTGCCATCCCGTTCATCGTCTTCCCAGTCGATGTCTTCATTGCGGGCACGTTCCTGAACCAGGGCAATGTTCTTCTCCAACTGAGCCATGTTGTCCATCTGCGATAAAAAAAAATCGTTGCATTTTTAGATTTCCACAAAACATCAAAATTCCCTACCGCATCCAGTGCCTGTTTGACGACTTCCACCATGTGCCTTGCCTGCCTGGTAAAGTTTGCCTCCGAACCGTTGTACGTCTCGCAGTTGTCAGCGATCAGATGAATGTCCTGCAGAAAATCGACTCTCGAATGATACTTGTGCGTTGCCACCTTCTTTGAAATCTTTTCCAGGTCCATCGGCTTCCGAATGATCGTATAGTAATCCTTCACTAACCGCTTGTTGACCGGCTTCAAAAACGGCCAACTCTCCGGCATCGCCTTCAGCGGACCGTTCACGTACTCCCCAAGCATGTAGGACAGGGCCACCTGATCGTCATCATCCAGCAGCGGGTTGATACTCTTCTCCAGCCGAGTCAAGCGCTCCTCCTTTTCCTGCATGCGATCCTTGCACTTCTGAAGCATCCGTTGCGCTGCGATCGTTAGCGAACTTTTCGGTCCATTGTAGAGCGAGGAATTTTCAACGATTTGGTTAATGTCGGCGATGAACTCCTCTCGGGTTTGATACTTTTTCTGACGGATATTCTCGCGGATGGTCTGCAGATCCATCGGTCGCTGAATGATCTTGTGATAGTCCACGACCTGCTTGGCGTTCACTGGGAACATGAATGGAGCCACGTCCGGCATGTCCCGTAGTTCATTCAGAATCTGTTCCAGTAGCGAAGACAGCACGACAACCGGATCCGTTCGCCTACGGTTCGCAGTTTTGTTGTGTCTCTTCAAATAATCACAATTGGAATCACCTCCGACGCGACGTCGTTTCTTGCTGACCGCTTCCTTGGGAACCTTCAACAGTAGCGTTCTTCTCTTCACATCTTCGTGCCGTTTCAATAGCTTGCCACTTAACTTTACCTTCGTTCCGTCAACATTTACCAAATCTTCATCATCTGCATTCAGTTCCTTCTCGATTTCCTCTTCTTGCTCTTCGGTCATTGCCACGTTCAACGACGGTGTCGGAACCGTTCCCGTGTACAGCGGACATGCTTTGTTCGTTCTCATATGCCCAACTTGACCGCAGGCACCACATTTCAACTTCAGATCCGGCTTCAGTTTGACCTTCTTGCGAGACGAAGGACTCTGTTCCTTGGTGTGGCTTTCCTTTGGCGTCGAAGAATGTGCACTGGATTTGGAACTACCCGGAGTTATCCGGTCACCAAGACTGATGGGCGTTCCTACCGAATGCTGTTGATGCTGCTGATTCATCATTCCGATTTTCTGTTGGTTACGCTTGATTCGTCGCAGTTGCTCCTGAATACGACGCTTTTCACGTTTCATCTCCTCCTTCTGCGCCTCGTCCAGGGTGGCAAACTGTCGGATAAATGCCTCATCCTTGGTGGTACGTATCTTGGTGTAGGCTTCAATGACTGGCGCTCGGCGGACGATTTCCACACGGGTGTACTCTCGGCCTTCCGAATTTTTGAAGGTTCGAGTGATTTTCAGGATTTTTGCTAAAGAAGAAAGTTAATTCAGTCGTTACAAATAACGTTTCTCATAGTTGGGAAACTTACTGGTGGGAGTTTGTTGGAGATCCTTCATATCGTCGTCCTTCTTTTTACCTCTATTGGAGCTACCCTGCTCCTCCATGATTTTCCTCAGCAGGTCCTGGCGTTCCTGTTCCTCCCGCTCCAGCGACAGCTGCGTGGAAGTTTTCTTGTTGGCCAGCATGTTCTCCAAATTCTTACCCAACTCTTCCAGATCCGACTCCTCCGATGCCGTCGACTCGCCTTCGTCGGTGGACAGTATTTCCGACGAGGCCAGCACCCTGTTCTGCAGATCGAAGATACGCTGGCACTCTTCCTTGTAGCGTTCCTGGTGTTCGGCAATCGAGAACCGATTGCCGCGGGAAAACTTATCCATTCCCTCCTCGCCGGCTTTGGCCTTCTCGGTCGAAAGGGTACGCACGACGTCGATGACTTCCCACCGGGAGAGTTTCTTGATTTCCTCTTCCGGTACCTGGAACTTACGCAGCAGCGCTTTGGCGTTGTTCAGGGACAGTCGACGCAAATCGGCGTCCGTACCGGTGACGGTACGTTTCGGCTGGCTTTCAATTTCTTCTTTATTTTGCTGCTGCAATGACATATAAAGTAAGTAAATTATTGCAACATAATAAAATTGGACGACTAATGAAATGTTCCAATTTTGAGACAGAAGCTGACTTTTGGGTGGTCGGCAACTATGGTAAAATCACAGCCCATACCCCGCCTCAAGACACTTACCGTTGGTTTGTTTGGCATCCGCACGTACGAGAACCCCTCGCCACATCCGGTCGGATCGGCCGGCCCGTTCAGCTGCAGAATACACTTGCCCCGCATGGCCTGAATGTAGGCTCGGGTCGTATTCCACGGTGCCACCTTCACCTCGTCGTCCATCTTCAACTGCATCTCCTCGTCGTCGTCTTCCTGCTGGGCAAAGATGAACTTCTCGCCATAACCGGCATCCTTCAGTCGCTGCTCGGCGGCAATCATGCTAAAGTACGCGCAACACTGCTCCGGCGAGACCATCGCTCGAATTTCCTCCTCCGAAGGCAGCCGGAATTCCGGTTTGATAACCCAAAAGTTCGAATCCATACCGGTACGTTTGAAATCGGCACACTGCTTCAACCGCTTACGGATGCTGCTCTCCGAATGGGCCGGGAAGGCTTTCTTGATGTCGTCCATGCGGATTTTACGCGGGTTGTCTCTGCTCTTCCAGAACAGACGGTAAATGAAGACCTGGAGGAAGTCGCGAACGAAATTGTTGGCCCTTTTCGAATTCGGACCGGGCACTTCGTACAGCGGACATTCCTGACCGGCGGTGAATATGGCGTCCACCTCTCGGATGTAGTAATTGCTACGAGTTCGGATGACCAGGAAGTCGGATTCCAGCATGTTTTGTGGGTAGATTGGGGCTCGGTACATGTTGTTTTCGACCACTTGGATGCAGTGACCCGGATGGAGGATTCCCAGAAATGGGGAAGTGTGAGCAAAGTGCAATTCACCATAACGGTACTCCGGGGGACCGGAATCTTTGGCAGCTTTGCGTTTGTAGTAGTTTTTGATCTTGGTGGCCATACCGACTTGGTTCATCAGGGGTGGATGTTCTTCGCAGAATTCCACGAGAACCAATTCGCCATCGCGACCGGAGAGGTCGTCCGGCGTGCGCATGAAAAAGACATCACCACCACCGGAAGCAATTCGTTCCAGTTCTCGCTGTTTGGCCTTCTTTTTGATGTTCTTCAGTAGCGGTAGCACTGCTTGAGGATTGCCGGTAGCAAGTGCACCGTGAGAGTATTTTTTCATCGGAGGTCGATGGAACATTCGCAGCTTCATTGGACCCATATGGGTCGGGATGAAGGGAGCGCGCAACTCAACGACTGGGGTGGAATGTTGCAATAGGTTTCCTCCGCCCACTTTGAGCTTCAGTGTGGCTTCCGATGATTTGGCCATGTAAAAGACGTCGTTAGAGATATTGTAAGGGTCACGGTCAGGACTTTTCGGCGGCGGAGGAGGCGTATCTTCTGCAAGAACGTTAATGACACCGGCTTTTCCGAGGAGAATTTTGGACTTCTTAACGTGCGGGTGCGGGATTTTGACCTTAGGGGTAGGTCCCGTATTCCGGATGATTTTTGAAGGGTCAATATCATCTGGGATACCGAGAATGATGTTCTCGTCGTTGGGATCCAGAGTGAGGACTTTGGGTTTTGGAATTTTGCTGACTGCTTCAGCGTCCCAAATGACTTCTTCCTCCCATTTGCTGTAGACCAGTTCTTCGTTTTCAACCGGGAAGATGCTGTACCACGTATCGTCGGTTTCCTCTAGCTGTTTGTTCTGGGCAGCGGCGATGATCATCTGGGCTTTGCTCATTTTCCCTTGACTGGAACTGCTGTGTTTTGATCCGGACACGGCTGGGGAAGGTGGAATACTCTTTCCCGGTTGGCTGAATGCACCTGCAGTTCGAGATCCACTGGACGGTAGCCAACCAGCTGCATTGATCTTGGAGTTAAGTTTCTGTAGCACCTTATGCTTAATGTCATTCCCATCCCACACCACGTCGTCTTCCCAGTGCAGCTGGGAGACCATCAGGAAAGCATCATCCGGTATTGGATCGCCTTTTATATCCATTTCCTCCCTTCTGTCCGTAGTTTTGAATCCATAGTTGAAGTCTTCTCCCGTTTCCGGAACGTCCAGCATATCGTACCAAACCTGGGCCGGTCCAAAACGCCAATCCGCCACCTTTGGCTTAGAATCGCCACCTTGGTCAGTGTCAGGTTTTTCTTCTTTCTCTTCTTCCCGAGTTAGACTCAGCAATCTATCTTCATCGTCCGACTCCCACTGATCCCTTGCTGGAACCGGAGCATAAACACAATCATAGCCATGTCTTCGGCGAGGTTCATCGGAATCCGAGGTTGAATCCGAGCCGTCTTTCATCTTTAGCTTCTGAAGTTTCTTCCTCCGTCTACGACGGACGCTTCTCCAGATCTGCGGCAAACTAGAAATTTTCCCTGGTCCGAATAGTCTAGAAAACCGAAGAACCTTATCCGGGCGGAAGTCCGGAAACAATTCACGCACGTCTACGTCCACATATTTCGATGGTAACATTGCCGCCAGAGGAGTATCCAACTTTCGCTCTAACTTAGGCTTTTCCAAAGCATCCTCACTATCGGATTTCCCTTCTGCTCCACTGATCGGGGCGCTGGGCGGGGGCATCAACTGTTTATCATCCACACCATCTTCCTTCTCATCGTCTGCATCCCTACCGCCATCGGAATGTACCCCTTTGACATCCACCTTGCTAACCGGAATAGCCGCCTCAATATCATCATAGTCATCCTCTCCACCGGAACCTTTCTTCCCGTCGGAAGGCTCAATCGCTACCGGTAAATCCTCTGCCAGTTCATTAAAATCCGAAAAATCCACCGCATCCTCCGCTTTTATCTTATAATTTGCATTATCATCATCGTGATCGTCATACCGATGATCATCGCTGGACGAAGAATCATCACTATCACTGTTCTCGAACGGTGGCTTCTCCGTTCCATCCGTTAGAACGTCCGCCAAAAATGACGACAGACCCATCCTGGAAAACAAATCACCAATAAATGTTTACCATTTTAGCCGTAACTAGTCATCCAACATACCTCGATAGCGAAGACAGGTGCTGCTTGGCTTCCTCGTCCAGAAAGTCATTCTCCAACCGGCCATGCTCGTCGACATTGCCAAACAGAAATCCCGCCAGATTGAGCTCTCCTTCGTTATCGTTATCATTGTCGGGATCATGATCGTTGTCACTATCGTTATCCATCATGATGCACTAAATCAAAATAAAAACAACAACACTACACCCACCCACTCACGAATGCCGCCGCCGCTGTTTACCAACAACAGCTGACCACCCGGTACCACGAATGGCGCCGACAACAAAAACAAAAGGCTTTTCCGAACGGTCCCAGCACTCGGTTTCGCTTCGGCTTTTTTTTCGGATTCGGACGAGTAAAATTTGACAACCTTTTCGCCGACGGATCGAGGTTAGACTCGCCAAAAAGGCTTGAGAGAATCGAAGATTTCCGGGCGAATTTCACTTTTCCCCTGAAAATAGCACTTTCCCCATTTGCACGGGGTGTTCATCTACGCTTCTGAACCAATTTCGACGGAAACTATTCGGATTTACCGGGGTTTTCGAGTAAAAAACTGAACCGACGACATGACGCGAAGTTAAGCGATGGAAAAATTGTCTTGATATGACAGTTCGAAACCGTGCGGTGACGCACACAAACAAAGTGAAAGGCCTTTTTTGAGGGTCAGCCGAATGCGGAGCAACACTATTGAGTAAAACTTTAATTTTTGATTATTACTGCTCTAGAATGAATTGTAATTTAATTTGAAAGCCTAATTTTCCCGTTATAGAAGACGTTGTATAATGAAAGCCTGCAAATAAAGCAGAAATTGATGATAATGCGATTAATATCAATAATGCTGAATTGTACTTTTTCGTCATTCATGGAAGCACCGCAGTAAACCTTGTGGCTGAAGATGGTTGACAGTGAACAAGTTCAAAAAATTTGAAAGTAAACAAATACCTCAGTCTACAGCAAATTGAAGCCACATAAGATTGTGATATACTCGAAAGATTTTCAAGTCTAATACACTCAGAAACGATTCACTTCTAAATAGTATAAAAGCTACGCTAAATCGCAACTCTCCTGCACTGTACACAAACATCATCCTCTGATCGAATGAAACCTCAGACCATTCCAAACAAATCACCGAAATCGCTTTTTCGAATGATACCTGCAACGGATGACGGTTGTTTTGGAATCAGATGATTTTCCTCTAGAATACAGGATGAAAATTGTTATGAGAATGGATAGGGCCTTCAGTTGAAATGCGTAATGCTCTCTGCAGAATGACTGTCATACTAAATGGAAATGCATATGGTATTGGTTCAGCCCCATAACGCAAATCATTCAAAACGATGATGTTAATAATTCTATGGAATGTCATTTGCTGATCTGAGCTGACAAACGAGGTGGAAGCATATGTATCGCTATCAGAGCTGTTTCGAACATAGGTAAAGGATGAAAACCAATGTTTGACTAATTCGAGGTGGAGATTTCCTTCACCATTCAACCATAAGAAAATCATCCGAAATTCGAATGCATATTGTTAAAGGGCTCGATCAATGCAATAATCATTCGAAGTATTGCGGATGTTTTGGTTCAGTGGACCGACGCATACACACGATACACATCAAATTTAAGAGCAAATTTTTATTATATCGTAAGTAACATTCGCACCAATCCGAGAAAAATAAAGTTTTGTTTTGATGACCGAAAAGTTATTCCTATTTCCAATTAAACACATATAATCTCATAGTGATAGCAATATTTAACATATTTAGCAGGGTTTTAATCATACAAATGCAAATTGCTAGCTTTCATGCTAAAAATACTGGTTTTTGAGTCAAAAGTTATTATACGTCGTTTGGTGGCCCCTATTGTTACTTAAGTCAAAGTGTATTTACCAGGATATTCAGGAGAATTATCAATTACGTCTCCTTACGTGCAGCCCATTCATCATTTAAGGACCACCGAAATCATCTTAGCAACAAACAGTTCGATTTATTCACTTTAATAATGAGAAAGCAAAACGACGAACGTACACTTTTCACGGGTTTCTCAGCGCTGTTACTTAAGGCAAACGGCATCTCCATAGAAATCGGGTGACTTAAGTAACATCGAAAACTATTTTGATCGGAAGGTGGTTACGTCAAAAAGCAATTTGACTGGTAAATAAATTTAAAAATGGGATGTGATCCTATATTCAGACAGTATATAGTGTAATAGCAGGAGCATCGATTGAAACTGATAGCTCGACTTTGTTTACCTTTGTTTTTTTTTTCGACGTAATGAAAATTTGCTCTTGAATTTAAGTTTTCATTATCAGTAAAACGAATTGCTGGATCATGATCAGAAATCCAATGCTTTACTGGAAAACAGCAAACGACATTTTTACCGAAAAAATCAGCTAACATAAACTGACACCCAGTCAAGAGCTGTCATTCTGTTAGCATCACAGTCGCAAGTATTTTTGCATTCGTACACCACCGGTCAATCCACAGGAGGAGGAAGAGGTAAACTACAAATAAATAATATTATGTAGGTAAGGACACTGGCTTGTACACTGGTTATATATAATAAATCTAGACTAACATTTAAAATGGGCCTATTTCCAAAACTTAAACAAACCAGAAAATGAATTTTAAATTTTTGGCCACTATTCAATTCATATTTTTAGAAAATTTAAGTATTTTAGGCATTTATATTATTCACAAAAACAATATAAACTGTATCTCAGTCTACAACATCCAAAATATGCGAAAAGCTTTCAAAAATATATGAAAATCAATAACAAGTTAATTTCATAAATTAAGACACAGCTCACTACTTGACTAGCCTATTGGTCCCAAGCAAACGATTAACGTATCCCATTCTAGTCGAAATTCTAGTACTACGCAATGTTTGTTTTGATTCGCTATGAAAGTTTCACAGATAAAATGAGGGGTTATTGGTTTTTCCCAACCCGGGGGCAACTTGACAAGTCCAGTACATTTCCACTGTACTCCGAAAATTTGGTGCTGGTGGTTCTGTCAAACTCACAAATTTCAGAAGTGTTATCTGAATAGGGCGAATGCAGATATGTAAATAAAGTAAATAAAATACTGAACATAAAAACAGATAGCCTCATCTGTTCCATGAAACTTCAAGTTGGTGGGGAACAATGTTAATGAAACGGACAGGTGTAACAAAAGACAATCACTGAAATTTATTCGTTTTAGAAGCTCATTATGAATATCTTTTGTTGAGAGACGCTTATTTTTATCTATTTTATTTATTTCTTCATGTTTAAATGGATATACGAAATATTAATGTTCACACAGCAAACCTGCTACTCACCGCGAATAAGAATCAATTTTGTATTTTTTTTTGTCACCCCTCAATAGCGAGATGGGGAAGTAAACGCTTTTTATTGATACGGCTTTTTATTGCAAGTCTTCATCGCACAAGTATGCTCAGAAACATTATTCTCAAGACTGATAATATTCAAGAGCAAAATATAATAGAATTATCCAATGTGTTTTTATTTCCATTTGATTATATAAGAAAAACTTCCATCAATCTGTTTCAATTTGTTTGGATTTATTTCATTTCACCACGAAAATCATACATCGCTCTTTTCACATGGCATTCTTGCTTGTTGTTTGACATCCACACATGGTGAAACAAAAAGTTGCCTTCCCATAGGCTGTTTCTATGCACCACCAATGTAGAGTGCGCTATGCGCTTACTAGAGGAAACGTCAACCAAACCGTTTGTTTACATCCAAATTACAATTTTACATCTCAAATTAACGCATATTGTTATGCGTATCTTGCATATTTCCATCGGGATGGGTCTTATTTTATTATTTTTCACATATTCGATCGGATTTACAGCTTAAATAACACCAAATTAAAAATCCGGAAGATCATAACCGCTGGGGTAGTTTTATAAATCTTCGTTTTTCTTAACCAAAATATGTGGAAGCACCAGCCGTTCACTTCAAAATCGATACAGAAAACAAAATATTCCATTTGGATGTTGATTACAAGCACCTGCGATGGATAAACTAATCAGAAAAGTTAAAAACATTTACCTCTTCCTATGCTTCGCGGTGAAAATTTCAGCCCTCATCACTCTTTTGATGGTTCTCTTATTCACCACCAGAGGTTGAAACGATCGCTTAGTTTCCATTGGATTCGCCTATAGAGAAATACCGTTGCGGCGGTGAAGGGCAGCCCCTTTGTTTACGTTGTGTGGCGACATCTACTATTTGCAAGTGGGTACGTGAAACTAAGATTATCTGTCACCTTGCCGGGGACTTGGTTTTTCCTATGTTTCGAGGGTTGATTCGACTAGCTTGGGACCGAAGATAGTACCAGAGCTGAGCCAAAAAGTTGAGCACGTTATTTCGGGACCTTCTGGTCTTAGAGTTACCTCTATGCTACTACCATAGAGGTAACTCTAAGACCACTGGGTCCCGAAGAAAATCATTATTATTTTTGGCTCACTCAGTACCAGAACAACGGTCCCAAGCAGTCCCAAGCTATTTCACTCACCCCTACATGTTCTGCATGAATCCACACACCCCTGATGTTATCTGTCAAACTTTCATAGCGAATCAAAACAAAAATAGTGTAGTAATAGAATTTCAACTAGAATAGGGTACGTTAATCGTTTGCTTGGGACCAATAGACTACTAAAGTGGTGAGCCAATTCAAAATCGTTAGTTTCGTATTGATTGTTGCTACTACTGAGGCTCTGAACCATTTGGTGGATTATTTTAACTTTTGGTTAAAATTTGACAGATGAAAAGTTATCGATTAACCCTGCTATCCGAGCATGGTTATTTCTGACAGACAAGAAGTTAAATTTTGACAACCGTGGCTCGAAAACCGGTCGATCGACAGCACGGGGATTTTCGAACATAGAAAATAACTTTCGAAATGTCACTTTTAACCACGAGTTAAATTTAACTCGGCAAATGGTTCACAGCCTGAGTAATACAATTTTGAGTTGAATTCGACTCAATCCCCTCTCATCGACCGTGAACTCTTGGAAATTTTGAGTCAGATTTGGCTCAATTTTGAGGACTCTAATTTAAAGCCCTACAGTAAAAGTATGGACGACTGTCACCACAAAACTGAAAAAAGCTGTTCCAATCGAGCAAAGCGGTGCATTTTGACGGTTCGATTGGAACAACTTTTGACAGACGTCCATACTTTTACTGTAGGGCTTTACTCTAATTGGCCGTGGGCTGATTTAATTTCAGTCACAGGGGCTACCCATACCTATGTTCGAATTTCGAGCATCAATCTGTCAAACGTATTTTTGTATTCGCTCGTTGATCAACCGTCGTCGGTTTTTGCGCTGTTGTTGAACAATTTATTGTAATTTTACAACATTAATGGACCAATGGATACGATCAAAAATCGACCGTTAACTCTGTCGGAGTACAGCACTTGGCTGCAGCTAATTTGCGCCGAAAGCGCCATGGTTTCCCAAGCATCCGAACATCTTACAGCTCGGGCGGAAAGAATCGCTAGAGTTAACGGTAGGTAACAGTTTTTGATAGTAAGTGTTATTTCAATGTAAGTTTAAAATGCTCTCGCAATC